TATATATATATATATATATATATACAGTGGGGGCAAAAAAAGTATTTAGTCAGCCACCAATTGTGCAAGTTCTCCCACTTAAAAAGGTGAGAGAGGCCTGTAATTGGCATCATAGGTAGACCTCAACTATGAGAGACAAAATGAGAAAACAAATCCAGAAAATCACATTGGCTGATTTGGAAAGAATTTATTTGCAAATTATGGTGGAAAATAAGTATTTGGTCAATATCAAAAGTTCATCTCAATACTTTGTTATATATCCTTTGTTGACAATGACAGAGGTCAAACGTTTCCTGTAAGTCTTCACAAGGTTGGCACACACTGTTGCTGGTATGTTGGCCCATTCCTCCATGCAGATCTCCTCTAGAGCAGTGATGTTTTCGGGCTGTCGCTAGGCAACATGGACTTTCAACTCCCTCCAAAGGTTTTCTATGGGGGTGAGATTTGGAGACTGGCTAGGCCACTCCAGGACCTTGAAATGCTTCTTATGAAGCCACTCCTTTGTTGCCCGGGCGGTATGTTTGGGATCATTGTCATGTTGGAAGACCCAGCCACGTTTCATCTTCAATGCCCTTGCTGATGGAAGGAGGTTTGCACTCAAAATCTCACGATACATGGCCCCATTCATTCTGTCCTGTACATGGATCAGTCACCCTGGTCCCTTTGCGGAGAAACAGCCCCAAAGCATGATGTTGCCACCCCCATGCTTCACAGTAGGTATGGTGTTCTTTGGATGCAACTCAGCATTCTCTCTCCTCCAAACACGACGAGTTGTGTTTCTACCAAACGGTTCTATTTTGGTTTCATCTGACCATATGACATTCTCCCAATCCTCTTCTGGATCATCCAAATTCTCTCTAGCAAACTTCAGACGGGCCCAGACATGTACTGGCTTAAGCAGGGGGACACGTCTGGCACTGCAGGATCTGAGTCCCTGGCGGCGTAGTGTGTTACTGATGGTAGCCTTTGTTACGTTGGTCCCAGCTCTCTGCAGGTCATTCACTAGGTCCCCCCGTGTGGTCCTGGGATTTTTGTTCACCGTTCTTGTGATCATTTTGACCCCACGGGGTGAGATCTTGCGTGGAGCCCCAGATCGAGGGAGATTATCAGTGGTCTTGTATGTCTTCCATTTTCTAATTATTGCTCCCACAGTTGATTTGTTCACACCAAGCTGCTTGCCTATTGCAGATTCAGTCTTCCCAGCCTGGTGCAGGTCTACAATTTTGTTTCTGGTGTCCTTCGACAGCTCTTTGGTCTTCACCATAGTGGAGTTTGGAGTTGTTGTGACTGTTTGAGGTTGTGGACAGATGTATTTTATACTGATAACAAGTTCAAACAGGTGCCATTGATACAGGTAATGAGTGCAGGACAGAGGAGTCTCTTTAAAGAAGAAGGTACAGGTCTGTGAGAGCCAGAAATCTTGCTTGTTTGTAGGTGACCAAATACTTATTTTCCACCATAATTTGCAAATAAATTCTTTCCAAATCAGCCAATGCGATTGTCTGGATTTTTTTTCTCATTTTGTCTCTCATAGTTGAGGTCTACCTATGATGCCAATTACAGGCTTCTCTCATCTTTTTAAGTGGGAGAACTTGCACAATTGGTGGCTGACTAAATACTTTTTTGCCCCACTGTATATATATATATATTTGCCCATTAAAGTGGGTGTTAACCTTTAAAGCTGACCTCCATGCCTCATTTTACTTTACCTTGCTTTACTTTTTACCTCCATGTTGCCATTTTGCACTAAATTTTACTGAAAATTACAGTGTCTGCCAATTGAGAAGAAAAGGCTATTTTTATTAACAATAAATGATAACCTGACTAGTGTTGCAGTTGTTTATACTATATTTTTTTCAACAAAGGTGGAGTCACTGCTTAAGCTTGCCATACATTCTTAGCTTCTGCTATCCATGCTATACAGCGCAGATGGATCAATCTCCTGCTGCTGTCTGACAGAGACAGAATGCCTGAGCATGGGTGAAGCCGATTCATCACGAACTGGCCAAAATGCATGTTGTGTATGGTTAGCTTTAGGCACCATTCACATTAGGGCATTTCAAATCGCTGGTGGAATCGCAGTGATTCTGCCAGCAATTTGAAAACGCAGTGTGACAATGTTTTAAAACGCATGATTGCATTTGGAGGTGCCATTCATTTCAATGGCACCTAAAAAAGTGTTTGTGTTTTTTTCCGCAATCGCTGCATGTTTTTCCGTGCAACAAACGCGCTGCAATCAAGCAAACAAAATCACGAGATGCGCGGCGCCCAAAAAAGATTCCATAACCATTTTTGAGCGAGATGCGATGCCCAAAAAAGGTTCTTAAACCATTATTGGGTGTTGCGCGTCCCACAGTTTTGTTTGCTCGATTGTGGCGTGGAAAAACTACTGTATTGGGGTAGAGTAAAACATTTTATTTTACAACAACCCAAAAGATGTGAGTGTTTGTAAATCCTCACATAAGGAAGGGGTGGGGTGAACAATGTTTGTACTCAAAGTTTAATTTCAACTTTCCAGTGAAATTTCTGTAATGACCACAATAAATTTACCAATATGTTTCACATTTCTTTTTTTTTTTATCAGACAAAAAGAACACGTGGACATTTTTCAAAGTTTCTGATTCAGGTTACTCAAGTTTGCACATCCATATGCAGTTCAGTAGTTCAGTTTTCAGTTATGGTCAATTTACATCTGTTTTTGCATTTCTCCTTATTGGCAGAACACAGCTGCAGGAGGGATTTCTCCATTAACACTGTGTGGATAGGGGAATCAAGCGATTTCCTTTCCTGCAGCCACGGGAAAATCACATAACCTATGGCTTGCCTTACATTCGTTATAATACAGGTCTATTAGCCAAACTCACTGAAAACCATGCCCTCCCTATGTGACTGACTGATACCTTTCACAAAAGTTATTTATTTTTTTGGTGTTTTTGTGCTTTTTTTTTCTTAGGAGAAAGGCAAAGTTATTTTAGTTATTGAGCAAAAAAAAAAGACCTAGACCTTTTATTATTTTAGAAAAAAAATGCCCTTGGTTTATTCTTTGAAAATATTCCCATTACGTTTTATGATTTTTTTTTTTTTTTTTTTTTCTGTATAGTGCCTGTGGTCTTTTTGCAATGATGGAAACAGAGCTGAAACACATTTTCTTGGTAATTATACGGTTACAAGTGATTTGTTACTTGTAAGCTGTTAAATAACTGCTGCAGTATACTAGTGAATGTTCAAAGCCTTTACATTCAGGACTTTGTTTAATATTCCATTCCTGCTTGGTGGTGCATCATGCCAAGTGTCAGACATGCCGGGGTGTTGGTGCATACTCTGCCAAGTCTGGGACATCTGCCAAGAGCAGCTGTTACATCTCAGAGGACACACTTGTGTCTTCCTTCAGAATGAAACCCAATAAACTTTGTGTTTTATCTGCCTCTGTAATTGTTTTTTCTACAAAAATCTAAATTTAATTTCTGTCTGCCGAATAATTGTCAAGGTGCATTTTATGTCTGGTTTTTCCCATTGTATATGTTCAGTGCTTTTATATGCAGCATGTTTGTGTGACATATTTACAGATTTTTATTTTTGAAAAATACTTATACCACTGACCAATTCTGCAGTGCAGATTAGCAGGGCTGTCCCTGCCCTCAAAGAATTTCCCAAGCAGTGCTTTACAAAACAAGGGGGCACAGTACAGTTACAATACAATGCAAGCCAGGAGGATTGGGGTGCCTTGCTTGTGAGAACTTACAACTAAAAGGGAGGAGTAAGTGATACATAAGGATGAGTTGGAGTAAAATTTCCATTTGTAGATGGAGGCAGGGCAGACTTTCCTGAGGAGATGAGCTTTCAGGCTCTGTTCACATCTGGGTGTTTTTGTATCGTGGACAGAATCTCTGCAGTTCTGCCCGTGATCCCAAAACGCTGTGCAAAAATGACAGATTGCACCACGATTGTTCAGGGGCCATTCTTTTTCAGTGGCACCTAAAACGCAGCATGATTTATCATGCTACAACCGCAGCAGAAACATTTTAAAATGAATGGCACCTGAACATGCGTGGTGCTATTTTGTCTTTTGTTGTTGTTTTTTTACAGCACTTTGGCATCATAAGCAGAATTGCCCATATGTGAAGAGATCCTTAGGGATTCCCCAAAGATAGTTACTTTAATACACACATGCAGGCACTCAAAATACCCAAGTGTGGCTTTGGATTGTGCAATAAATCCTTGGGAAGCTTACGGAAACAGAGTAAACAAGAGAAGTGTGTCTCTTGTGAAAACTGGATAATGAAGTTCTAGCGCTGACATACCAAAGCTGCTATGCTTCACAAAACATCAATGTTGAAGGAAACCTTTAATTCTTACATGCTATTGCTGACCAGGTCCTGAAAATAACAGATTTCAGGCTATCTCTGGCCTTGAACATACATGCAGCTGGTTAAGTATTTGGAAAGTCAAGCTGCTTCATTGACGTCTATCTCTTGAGCCAGTGGATAACAGTCTTGTTACTTTGGTTGTTATATTAAAATTTATCAAATAGAGAATGTAACAATGGCAACGTACATATTTTTTTAAATTCTTTTCAGGTTTCCTCAAACAAACAATGTTGACACTTGGTAGATATCAATACTGTTTTTGAAGCCTGATGTTTGCTGTTGCTAATTGGACACATAGGAATAAAAATGTCTGAGTAGAAAAATCCAGTACTAAGCCACAATGCGCATAAGTGCATGGCTGTGAATCTGGTAATAATAATGCTGATATTGGGAAGCTGGTGGAAGGCCAGTAACCAGGTGTACTTTTCTATATATCGGTCACTAAAAAAATGACCTTTCTGATCGAAATGGCTGTTGCAAGAAACACCTGTGCTTTTTATTCTCTATAGATTGTATGCATCTGTTTTATAATGCTTTCTTTTGCTGTTCTCCTATTAAAGTTTTCTTCATCTTCTTTGTCTTAGGTATTCCGAAAAGACTTAATTAGTGCAATGAAGATTCCAGACTCTCAACATGTCAATCAGGATGACTATTACCAGTTTGTGGACACTTGGAAGCAGGAGTGGGAGAAGTGTTCAAGTTCCAGCTAATCCAGATACTATCCCACAACCTTCTCTCAGGTCAGAGAAATGTCCTTTTAAAATGGAACTGCTTCATCCTGCTCTGCACAGCCTCTTTTCTCAGCACTTTACCAAAAATCAGAGGCACTATAGGCTGATTTGCTGACAGTCTTAAGATTTACTACTGCTCAGGGGCTCTGGGCTTCTGCAGATTGGCAGCCTCTGGCCAAGAAGAAACAGGAGCAATGCTGGAGGCAGTTTACAGCACACACTAAATTTAGTAGCATCATTATTGATTTGGAATGTATGTTTCTTGCTAAAGAACATTACATTTTATCAAGTTGTTATGGGTAATGTTCTGCTTTAAAAGAAAGTTTGATTAGTTTGAATTTTTAAATTACAAAATGTAATACTTAATTGTGAATCTAGGATGCACATTCTGTGGTATGTACTTTTGCTTTTCATCTACAGGGTCATTGCCGATAAGGTAAAAGAGGTGCTGTACTCACGCCCACGAAAGTACATCCATTGCTCAAGCCAGGAGCCGTCGGAACCAGGATATGTAAACATTCTGGAGCTAGCAGAAAGCATGTGTCGGTATGACCTTGATGATATGGATCTCTTTTGGCTTCAAGAGTGCAACCTTGAACTTGTAGACATGGGTATGTGTGGTACATAAAAAAAGTACTTTACCATCATTACTATCAGTTATGGATTCATGTCATTTGTGTCCTTGATTTCTGAAATTCTGCTGTAGGTTTTTTCTGATGAAGCTGGACTTCATTGTTTACAAGTCATTGAGGCTTTTTACTTGCAGAGCACTCATATATCATTACACTGACTCTGCTGTATTTCATTATCTTAACTGAATGGTGTTTGTAAACTTGTTTTCCCCAAGCATAATGAAGTTACTTTTACTATAACTTTGTCACTGCTAACACAGTACCAGTATCATTTTGGGAGGCTGTTTTCCTTGCTGTGTAACCTTCTATGGACATCACTCATGACCATTGTTTTTGTTTTTTATGATTAACTCATGTTTATGGGTGTTATTGAGAGCATAATCCATGTTCTTAGCAGTTTGTCACCTGTCTAGGATTCCCACACCAACAGAGTAACATTAATAATGGGCATTAATTAGTGGTAGCTACCAGAAATATGGTTTTGGCAGTTAACATTTTGTACTACATAATTGATATTAACTAGTAAGGCCACTAATCTGATCATCTCTAACTATAATTAGGTAATCAGCCTGAGAATCACTATGGACACTGGAAAATTTCAAAATATTATAAAGGATAAGAGTTCCATACCCGTGGGGGGCCTATCTTATAGTAGGTACAGTTGACTGATGGATGCAGTAGTCTGCGCTATGCATTGTCGACCTTGTGTGCTTTAAAAGTGCTATTAAATAAGCTCTGAATTCTTATTCTTACAATCCTTTAGACTCCCTATTATTAGTAGATTTTTTTTTTTTTATTTTTTTTTTTTTATAACCTCACCTTTTTGACTGGTTTGATCATCATTGGCTGAGCAGTGAACTAATAATTTCTTTTTATTATTGCTACAGGTTGCACTCCAGTGGATGAGAACACTATGGAGAAGACATTAGAGGTTCTGGAACGTCATTGCCATGAAAACATGAATCATGCAATAGAGACGGAGGAGGGTCTGGGCATAGAGTATGATGAGGATGTCATCTGTGATGTTTGCCGCTCCCCAGACAGTGAGGAGGGCAATGAAATGGTGTTCTGTGATAGCTGCAACATATGTGTGCACCAGGTGATTGCCTTTTAAAAATTGGGGCACCTTATGAATAATGGGTTAGAACTTTATATATTGGTTTATTTACTGACACAGTTCTACTTAAATACCAAACCTCTACAACACTGTGTCCTATAAACATGTCCCCACAAGTCCTGCCAATGGATCATGTTTTGCTGATGATTTTACATGCAGTTGGCATAATCAGTGTCTCGGCAATGTGATGCATGGATTGTTGGTAGGACTGGAGTACAGGTTTGAGGGAAACCTGGCCTGTATGGCCTTCTCTTTTTTTCCCGTGTTATGTATAAAATGTTAATTAATGTTCCTAATTTAATGTAGCAAAAAAGGAAGACATTTTTTTTTTTCTAGTATCACGGTTAACTCCCGGTTCTAAAATTATAACTTTTATTTATTTTGAATGGGGAAAATGCCTTGTTTGCATGGCTCTACATCCATTCATCACAGAATCAGGGCAACTAAAATATGTAGGTTTTATGCTTCAATACACAGGTTGCTGCATGACTTATTTTTCTCTGTTCAAAGGCATGTTATGGCATCCTGAAGGTCCCAGAAGGCAGCTGGCTGTGTCGAACGTGTGTTTTAGGTATTCACCCACAGTGTATTTTGTGCCCAAAGAGAGGTGGAGCCATGAAAGCTACAAGAACTGGTACGAAATGGGCACATGTAAGCTGTGCTCTCTGGATACCAGAGGTAATAATTTGCCCAATCTTTTCTGGTTTGTTATACCACTCATTCTTCATTGCTTAAGACAGAGCCAGTACCGCTTGGTATTAGGAGAGCTTAGAAATTGCTTACCCAAGTGCGTATTATATCAGACAGTCTGGAGTTTAAACAAAAACATTTATTGCCATGCTAAAAAAATTGACAAAGAGCTTAAAACACATAAGACTGCTTTATTGAGGGGAAAGCCTGATGAGCCTTAATTTAAATTTGAATTCACGGAATTAACCAGTAAGTTTAATACAATTAAAAAGTACAGCATGAAAGGGTTTTTTTTTCTTTTTGTATGTATTCCATTATACATTCATAGCGACACTGCATTGCCTGTGCAGCTTGCTGAAAACTTTCCAATTCTAAGTATGAAGTACTGGGGGCATAGACATATCGCCTTCTGCCAGATAAACCTGCTATGGTGGAAGTGGGGCTTTGCAAATACCTACCTGCTTTGCTACTTCAAAGAGTTCTGACAGCTCATAGTAAAACAGAATTCGTCCTTTGCAAAGCACAAGTACTTGTGAACTTTATTTTGTACAAAGACAAAATTAGACAAAAGAGTTTTTTGGGGGTTTTTTTTGTTTAACTTTTCCTTTTTAGTATATGCAGTATATACTGCTCAGTAGGAGGTGAAAAATATGTATCTGCCCCTCTTTAAAGGATAAGTGTTTAGGGTGAAACATGTAACACGTTTCCATTGCTACAGCAGCTGCCTGCTGTCCCCTCTCCCTCTGACAGCAGTACGGGGAGACGTTCCCCGTATTAGGTGTCACTTTTTGAAAACAGCACGGCAGTGTAGGGCTCTGTGAATGAACGAACTAGAAGTCCCAACAACCTTTGCAGATGTTGACTTGTAGTTCTCAATGAACTACCACGGTGCTGTCACAGTGTATCTGCTTCTTCCTGTCACAGTGTATCTGCTTGCCTGGATGTTGTATGAGCACACAGATAAACTGACAGGTTTGCAGGAGTCCTGCATGGCACCACCAATCTGCTGATCGCTGGTGCAATGCTTTCCAGGCTAAAAAAAAAAAAAAAAAATAATAGTAAATGCACATTTTTTTTTTACCTGCAAAAAATGGGCATTTATTTTTTTTTTATTTATTTTCACGTGAACTTATCCCTTGTAAACCCTTGCCGCCTATGCCCAGTGAAGTGACTTGCCTCAGGCGATACAGAGATGAAACAAATCATCCTATATACGTTGAGCATGTTTATCTACAGCCGTTTGTCCCCTGCATCCATTCAAGGTGCAGAATTTACATAGGATCTCTCAGTTCTGAAAAGCAGAGGGCGGACAGCTGAAGTTGAGGAGAGCTCTGAAGTCGAGGAGAGCCCCCCGCTTCACACAGGAACAGAGCTGAGGTCACAGGCTGTGCCTTCCCATGTCATCATTTTTATCTTGGTGTCAGGAAAACTTATCTAAAGTGATTCATGCTGATAGCAGTGGAATGAGGCAGTGGACAGAATTGACACTTAGTGCTCTGGATTGAGACAAGCACACTCTATAGAGGGATATGCTTTATTCATATTTCATGTCCGAGATTTACCACTTTAAATAATAGATTCTGGAATGAAAATTATTTCTATGTATAACATTTTTTCCTCCTGTGCACCTTAAAGACTGAGGTCTGTTGCCACACTACCATAGCTGCTGTCATAAAAAATGTAACGGATCTGCTAAATACTCTTCTGGTGCAAGTTCCCTACAAGTTTATATTTCCCTACCTCACTGACTTTTTGTTTCTTTGACCCAGTTTACGGCAGATTCTGTGTGAGGTAGAGGCATTGATTAGGTGTTTAGGAAGAGGCAGCCAGATAGTGTCTGTTCCTCCCACAGAACCGGTCCTCTGCTATGATAAAAAAAAAAGTGATAGTGAATGGAACTTGGAGGGACCCAGCTTCTGGAGAAAATTTGGTTTGGGAAGTCTGTTCTTTTCTATAGCAGCAGTAAGGGAGAACAGTGAACCTAAAGTTCATTACTTTTGACCTAATTTTTTGTTTGCGCGCATAACAAAAGATTTTTTGTTAAGGAATATAGATTAGTCATGTATACAATACACTTGCACAATGATTTCTTGATACAATTCAGTGATTCTATATACATTATTTAATACCTCTTGCAGTTCTTCTCTGTGGTATAACACTCATTCTTTTATCCAGGTGAGCATTGCTTGCCCTGAAAGGATGGAGCCAATTACTAAGGTTTCTCACATCCCTCCCAGTCGCTGGGCATTGGTCTGTAGTCTCTGTAAACTGAAGACCGGAGCATGCATACAAGTAAGACTGTTGTGTCTGTAAATGCTGTGCCACAGAATAAACCCTGCCCTCAATTTACAGTTCGATAATTTATCTGGCTTACATATATTTATCAGATGTACAATTCTGTTTAAACTGTATGCCCCATGCAAAGCTGACCTAACATAGTGCAAAGTTATTATAAATAACAGGATATAGCAGCCAATCGGCTCCCCCCTTTACATCAGAAACAATCAGCGGAGCTTAGAGAGCTTCCAGAGTTATAAAAGAATTTCACTGTTTCTGTTAAAGTGATGGTAAGTCTGGTTTTAGAAAAGGAAAAAAAAAATCTAAGTTTGTATGGTTAAATCTGACCATCACCCAAAACTAGTCTCATTGCCCTGCCTGCTCCCTGTTTCATAACTGGATATAGTTTTGTAAAGAGATTTTTAGTGCTGCAAAGCGGCCCAGGCGAGGATGATGTTTGGGTTACCTACCCATCTCCTGGGTTCTGCTCATACACGAATGTACCACAGAGCTTCGTGCTCCCGCTGAGCCTTACTGCAAATCTGCGCATTCATGGGTTTACGCACATGCACAAAGACGGCTATTATAAAAGGCTCAAAACATTACCATCTTTGTGCATGTGTGGAATATCTCCTGCAGGTGCACAGATGTGCCGTAGGGCTCTGCCAAGACCAAAACGTTGTTCAGAGCACTTTGGCATATCTGTGCATGCGTCATAATGGTGGGAGAAAAGCCACTAAAAAGGTGAATGATGTTTCTTTTTTTAACTCAGAAAAAAGTACCTCCTATTGCTCTCAGGCTCCTCCAAACTCCAAACTTTTTTTTTTGCTGCTGTGGTCCAACTTCCTTAAATGGGTGGCTACATTAGTTCTCTGATCCCACTCACTGTATATATAGGATTATCTCTCTTTGTTCGCTCCCAAGATCATCTATGGACTTTGGGGTTTGTGGTATTCATAGAGCAGTGCACATGACTGCAACAAATGTGTATGGCTTGTTCCAAATGGATGAGGGATGTGGTAGAGAGGCCCGGGAGCTCAGAGGGGACATTTCTAGGAGGCAGAAAAACAGCGCATGAAACATTTTAAAGTATAAGTAAGGGCAAAACCTTTCTCAGTTTCGAAGAGTACAGAGAGATTAGAACATTTGTCTGTTTTTATTGCTGTTTTTGACCTGGTTAAAAAGATTCACCCTCTCTGTGTCCTTTTCACCATTATCAGTGAAAGTAAAAGATAATCCCAAATTTTGGACTGTCCCTAGAAAAGTAATTGAGGGGAAAATATTCCTATAGGGACACTAGTTCTGGTGACCTGGGAGTCCCCTACCCTAGGAATTCCCTTAATTTACAGGGATTTCTTCACTTCCTGTTTGGCTATGGATTAGGAAGTGAAGGGAAATATCCGCAATGGAACACAGATGGTGAAAAGAAATCTGGCGGTTTATAACAGTCCTTTTTGCTCCATCCAAAGTGAAAAAAAAATTGCCTGTAGCTCTACTATAATGAAAAGTAGACTATGGGGCCTTTAAATAGTTATGTATTTTTGTAGAATGATCTAATTGAGTGTTACTTAAAATTAAAAATAAATTAACAGTGAAACTTTCTGTGCCTGGAGTTGAGCTTTAAAACACATATAAAAATTAAAGCCAGGCTAAAAATGCTGGGCCCATATTATATCTATGCGAATCCACCCTCCATTATCTCTAGTCAAAAGCTGTTGTATCTAGAGAAGGAATAGCCCCGTTACCTGTGTAGAACTTGCAAGTTTAAATATTGTCTACAAATGTTCACAGAGGCATTTGATCCAGATGGATAATAGTGGAAATAACTTTGGATGATATAAGGGCCACATGCACTGTTTTTTACCTTACAATTTCAGTGTGTTTACTTTAAAAATATATACTTTAATGAAAGCTGTAGTTAGAAAGATTGAAAACAACTTTTGGTATTACAGTATATTTACATGTTAAAGTTTATATGGTGTTTAAGTGATGAGTTCACATCTACTTCAAGTCAGCATCTTTGCCTCATGTGACTATATCTTTATGCTCTTGTAAGCTACTTGCAATATAACTAATCAGTTGTGTTTTCTTTTATCAGTGTTCAGTTAAGAGCTGCATAACAGCATTTCATGTTACTTGCGCCTTTGAACACACTCTGGATATGAAGACAATTTTAGATGAAGGAGACGAAGTTAAGTTCAAGTCCTACTGCTTGAAGCACAGCAAGAACAAGCTTTGCTCTGAAGGGGAGCAGGAAGATTGTCACAAACCAGCCATTGACAACAGACAGAGTGAGAGTGAGAAAACTAGCCTCCGTGCCCAGAAACTAAAGGAGTTGGAGGAAGATTTTTACACTATGGTAAACGTGGATGCTGTGGCAGCTGAACTGGGAATACCCAAACTCACTGTGGACTTGATTTACTCTTTTTGGCTGCTGAAACGTAAAAGCAACTTCAACAAACCACTGGTGCCTCCCAAAGAGGAGGAGCAGAATGGCTTGTTACAACCCAAGGAGGACAGCATCCACACAAGAATGAGGATGTTCATGCACCTTAGACAAGATTTAGAGAGAGTGAGTCTAGTTTTTACAACTATGAGGTTATTATTATTATTATTATTATACAGTATTTATAAAGCGCCAATAGTTCGCTCAGCGCTGTACATTACAAAGGGGGACAGAACATGTGACAGAACAATACCAATACAATGCAAAACATGAGGGGATCGAGGGCCCTGCTCTTTCAAGCTTACAATCTAGGAGGGAGGGGATGGTGGCACAGGAGGAGATAGCTGTGGGGGATGGAGTGGTAGGAAGAGTGGAGGAGGTCGGCAAGTTAGCAGGGGGTGGGGTAGGCTTCCCTGAAGAGATGGGTTTTCAGGGTGCGCCTAAAGGAGAGGAGAGTAGGTGATAATCTGATGGGTTGGGGCAGGGAGTTCCAGAGGATGGGTGACACCCTGTAGAAGTCCTGGAGGCGGGCATGGGAGGAGGAGACCAGGGAACTAGAGAGAAGGAGGTCTTGTGAGGAGCGGAGTGTGCGTGCTGGGCGGTACTTGGATATTAGGTCAGTGATGTAGTTCGGGGCAGTATGGTGGACAGCTTTGTACGTCAGCGTTAGGATTTTGAATTTGATCCGTTGCGCAATCGGAAGCCAGTGGAGGGATTGGCAGAGGGGGGTGGTGGAAACGGAGCGGTTGGAAAGGTGAATGAGTCTGGCAGCCGTATTCAGGATGGACTGAAGCGGGGATAGCCAGCGGCGAGGCAAGCCAGTGAGGAGGGAGTTGCAGTAGTCGAGTCGTGATATGATGAGGGAGTGGATGAGCTGTTTAGTGGTTTCTGGAGTTAGGAACGTGCGGATTTTGGCGATGTTGCGGAGGTGGAGTCTGCACGAGTTTGTTAAAGATTGGACTTGGGGCTGGAAGGATAGGTTGGAGTCCAAAATGACACCAAGTACTCTGGCCTGCAGGGCAGGTTTGATGGTGGCCTTGTTGGATGTGATGGAGAAGTCAATGGGGGGTGGTGTCCGGGCTGGAGGGAAGACAAGAAACTCGGTTTTGGAGAGGTTCAGTTTAAGGAAGTGGAGCGACATCCAGTCTGATATGTCGCTCAACAGGTGTGTGATTCGGGCGGAGACCGAGGGGGTGAGGTGGGGGGTTGAGAGATAGATTTGTGTGTCGTCGGCATAGAGGTGGTAGTTGAAGCCGTGAGAGTGTATGAGTTGGCCAAGGGAGGAGGTGTAGATGGAGAAGAGAAGGGGCCCGAGGACAGAGCCTTGAGGGACCCCAACAGAGAGGGGGAGTGAGAGGGAGGTGGTGGCATTATAGTTAACGCTGAAAGAGCGTTGTGACAGGTAGGATGAGAGCCAGGAGAGAGCAGAATCTCTGAGGCCGAGGGAGTGTAGTTTTTTGAGGAGGAGGGGGGTGGTTGACTGTGTCAAAGGCCGCAGAGAGGTCAAGGAGTAGGAGCACTGAATAGTGGCCATTAGCTTTGGCGGTTAGCAGGTCGTTGGAGAGTTTGAGTAAGGCAGTTTCGGTGGAGTGTAGGGGACGGAAGCCGGACTGTAAGGGGATCGAGGAGGTTGTTGTCGTTGAGGTGAGAGCATAGGCGGGCGTAGACTAGGCGCTCGAGGAGTTTAGATGTAAATGGGAGCAGGGAGATGGGTCTGAGGTTGTTCGGGTCATTGGGGTCCAGGGAGGGCTTTTTAAGTATGGGGGTGATGTGTGCATGTTTCAGAGGGGAAGGGAAAGTGCCGGAGGAGAGGGAGAGATTGAAGATGTGGGTGAGGGAGTGTAGGATGGAGGGGGAGGGAGGTTGTAGGAGTTGTGAGGGGATAGGGTCAAGGGGGCAGGTGGTGAGGCGGGCATCAGAGAGGATCTTGGAGACTTCTTCGATGGTAGTAAGGTCAAAGGTGCGGAGTGTTGGGGGAGCTTCAGTATGAGGAATGTAGGGTGGGGTGGGAGAGGAGGTCAGAGCAGTGGTGGGGCCGTGGGAGAGGGGTGTAGAGGGGGTAGCTGAGTGAGGGGGAAGGGGGTTGGAGGGAGTTTTGAGCAGCGACGAAGTCCCTGTGGGTTATGTCGAGGGGGAGGGGGGATGAGGGGGTAGCTGTGTGAGAGGGGACAGGTTGAGAAGGCGTGTGAGTTGCGGCAATGTCCTTGCGAATTGTGTCAATCTTGTTTTTGAAGTGATTGGCAATCTCAAGGGCAGTGAGTGAGGTGCTGGGTGGAGGTGGGGGTGGTGAGAGTAGAGAGTTGAAGGTGGAGAAGAGTCGGCGAGGATTGGAGGAGAGGGCCTTGATGAGGGTCAGGAAGTAGGCTTGTTTGGCAGTATGGAGGGAGGAGGTGTAGGTGTGGAAGGCAGATTTGTATCGGGTGAAGGCTTGTTGGGATTTTGTTTTGCGCCATAGTCGCTCCAGGGCACGACTGTGTCGTTTGAGGGTTTTGGTGTGATCAGTCTGTCAGGGCTGGAGCGGTCGGGGTCTGATGTTGCGTGTGGTTAAAGGCGCTAGTGAGTCAAGGGCTGTTGACAGCGCATTGTTGTAGGTTTCTATTTTAAAAACCTAATAGCTTATGAAAGTGTTCCTTCCACACTTAAGCTTGCATTCCGTTTTATATTTAAAGTTCTTTAAAAATGGAGAAGGAAATAAAAATTCCATCAGGTTTTCATAGCTGTCTGTGTGTTCCTGTCCGTCCAGGTGATGCTTCTTTCTCTAATATCTTGCTCTGTAAAGTAAAACTCCTTGCAATTAAATGAAGACCTGTCATGTGTTCCTTTGAGTCTTTGGGACTTTCTTAATTAAACCCCTAAGTCCCAGAGCATTTTTTTTACTGTTCCAGTTGTGCCTGTTCTATCTTTCAGGTTTTGAGTCTACCCTAACATATTATACATATTTTTTCAGGACAGGTAGGGCCTTAATTTGGATACATATATTTTATTGTTTGTTTTGTTGAGGCTGGTCTTACAGAACTGGCTTGTGGCAATGTGTTCAGTGCCCACCTCAGAGGTCTTTTTTTTTTTTTACTCATACTAGAGTTGGAATATATTAAAGTACTACTAAAGGCTCCTATGTGACAGTCCAAACCCAGTTACTATGCGAGACACAAACTTCATAAAGTAAACAACCAAAAACCTTCCCTAACTGAGCCAAATCCTCCTTCAGTTGTGTCATACACTCCCCCCCCCACACTGCAGCTCACTGTGAGAGGGTTTCGGCAATAGAGGCAGTTCTGCCCATCCAGAAAGTGGGCAGGGATAGGTGTGCCCAGGTGTTTATTGACATGATATAGGCCTGTGAACCAACAGTGACACTGCTGATAGCTATGCTCCCTTTGACATTTTTTATTACACTCTAGTGCAGTTAGGCACCGCCTACATTATGGTGACTACTCTGCTCTGAATTCAGGAGCAGTGCAGCATTTTTGCCTTTTTTTTTTCTTGAGAGGCCGAATTTACAGCATGCAAGGCTAAGCTGTAGTTACAAGAGCAAGTTATATATTTCCTTGTATTAAACAAAAAGGTATAGACTCCAGTAAGGGAGACAAAACCTTGCCCCTGTACAAAGCACAAATAATTGCTCATCTCAAAAATCCAGTTTAGTTTTGGGCATTGGTTCACATAAAGGATGTTGTGAAACTGGAGAGTGCGCTGAAGGGCAACTAAACTACTTGGAAACATTGAGATCCTATACTATGAGGAAATATTAACTAAATGTATTCTTCCTTAAAGAGGTAGGTCATGCAAGAAGACTGATTTCCAAATTGTGTGTATAAGTATATTATATACTTTTCCTCCTACAGTAGATCGCAAGGATGAAAGAAACCAGCAAGGAACTCTGTGTCATGTCCAAGAAAGCATGACAGTTGAAGGCTTCTAAACAAGCAGCGCAACTCTGAGCTGACAAATGGAGGCAGACCTTGCATAATTTCTGCAAAAACCATCCATGGTTAAACAAGCTTCCTTCATATTGGACTGCTCAGCGTGCTTCCATTCAAACGGCTTTCCACAAATGGCAGGCCACATTGTAGACTTTATAGTGTATATTTATATACAGTGCCTTGAAAAAGTATTCATACCCCTTGAAATTGTACACATTTTGTCATGTTACAACCAAAATGTAAATTTATTTTTTTGTGATAGACCAACACAAAGTGGCACAAAATTGTGAAGTGGAAGGAAAATGATAAATGGTTTTCAATTTTTTTTTTTACAAATATCTGAAAAGTGTGTGCATTTGTATTCAGCCCCCTTCACTCTTATATCCCTAACTAAAATGTAATTAGTAAATGGAGTCCACCTTTGTGTATTTTAATCTCAGTATAAATACAGCTGTTCTGTGAAGCCCTCAGAGTTTTGTTAGAGAACATTTGTGAACAAACCGCATCATGAAGGTCAAGAAACACACCAAGACAGGTCAGGGATAAAATTGTGGAAAAGTTTAAAGTAGGGTTAGGTTATAAAAGAAAAACCCAAGCTTTGAACATCTCATGGAGCACTGTTCAATCCATCATCTGAAAATGGAAAGTGTATGGCACAACTGAATACCTACCAAGACATAGCTGTCCACCTAAAGTGACAGGCCGGGCAAGGAGAGCATTCATCAGAGAAGCAGCCAAGAGGTCCATGGTAACTTTGTAGCAGCTGCAGAGATCTACAGCTCAGGTGACAGAATCTGACCACAGGACAACTATTAGTCGTGCACTCCACAAATCTGACCTTTTTGGAAGAGTGGCAAGGAGAAAACCATTGTTGAAAGAAAGCCATGAGAAGTCCCGTTTGCAGTTTGCGAGAAGCCATGTGGGGGACACAGCAAACGTGGAAGAAGGTGCGCTGGTCAGATGAGACCAAAATTGAACTTTTTGGCCTAAAAGCAAAACACTATGTGTGGTGGAAAACTAACACTGCACAGCACCCTGAACACACCATCCCCACTGTGAAACATGATGGTGGCAGCATCATGTTGTGGGGATGCTTTTCTTTAGCAGGGACAGAGTAGATGGGAAGATGGATGGAGGCAAATACAGGGCAATCTTAGAAAAAAAACCTGTTAGTCTGCAAAAGACTTGAGACTGGGGCGGAGGTTCACTTTCCAGCAGGACAACGACCCTAAACATACAGCCAGAGCTACAATGGAATGGTTTAGATCAAAACATTATCGTGTTAGAGTGGCCCAGGCAAAGTCCAGACCTAAATCCAAATGAGAATCTGTGGAAGACTTTTGCTGTTCAGACACCCTCCATCCAATCTGACAGAGCTTGAGCTATTTTGCAAAGAATGGGAAAAAAAGTTCACACTCTAGATGTGCAAAGCTGGTATCCCCACAAAGACTTGCAGCCAGTGAAAGGTACTTCTACAAAGTATTGACTTAGGGGGGACTGAGTACAAATGCACGCCACACTTTTCACATATTTATTTGTAAAACATTTTGAAAACAATTTATCATTTTCCTTCCACTTCACAATTGTGTCACTTTGTGTTGGACTGTCACATCAAATCCCAATAAAATACATTTACGATTTTGGTTGTAACAAAATTAAGAAAATTTCAAGGGGTAGGAATACTTTTTCAAGGCGCTGTATGTGGATCTGTTTCAGTGGAATAGCTACTTCTGTGATAATATAGAGCATATGGTTTTAAAACTTTACGTATTTTTTTTCCCCTATTCACAGGTTAGGAATCTGTGCTACATGGTGAATAGAAGAGAGAAGCTGAAGCTCTCACACAGCAAAATCCATGAACAAATCTTCAATCTTGAAGTACAACTTGTAAATAAAGAGTTAGCTGCAGGTGACCTACTTTTCATTCATTGCTGATTAAGGATGCTAAATTAGATAAGTGAAGAATGGAAATTAAATGTGCATTGATTTAAACTAGATAATTCACTATTCTTGCAAATCATTACATAAGGTCTTATGCAACTCATCAGTACTGAGAACTGTCTACATTGGTTAGATCATGTCATGTCCAGATGGTTCTCATTCTTCAGACTGATAGTCTTAAATATAGTGCCAAGGGTTGGTTTAGCAATTGTTTTTGAGTTTTTATAAACCTAAAGCATATTGCAGTAGCAGAAAGTAGTAATGATTCCTGGTGTAGCTCAGCTGTTTGTGTGTGGATCTCTTTCTTTGAGTTGTGTGGCTCTAGTAGGGGCTCAGTTCAGAACTCCGCCAGGTACTCTTCATAAGGTTGCTTTAGGATATGTAAATTGGCAGTCACAGAGAAGCCATTCTATGAAGTAATTTCTTTGTAGCAGATATAAGAAGCGCCACAGAAAATGCACATTAAATCAAATAATAAGCAGCACCTCTAACCAAAAAAGGTAAAATGATGTACAAATAAAAAGTGCGCTAATTATTCACAAAGCATGCAAGGATAAATAATAAAAATAAATGAATTCATAAATATAAACATAAGTCCAGCCACCATAACAGTGATAGTCCAATATCAACTTAATGTCAATCTTGAAAACAAACACCCATGTGCAAATCCAACACCAGATGAAATGAATACACTCACCAGAGCTATATGCTGATTATATTATAAACCAGCATGATAGCATTTTGCTCTGGGAGCAATGATCTGCAGGATATCCCAATAGAGGAACAGCAACCAATAGTGATCCAATCAGCACATATGGAACAGCTAGGCAACACATATGGAACAGCTAAGCAGCAAATGATCTTCCAATAACATGGGCAAAGCTCGAGGAATGAGAAGAGATATGATGGTGCAGTACGTTTAAAACCAGTAAAATTTTATTAATAAAGTATTGCACTCACAAAGAAGGTGTCTAGCCGACACCAGCAATGACAGCCTCTAAAATGCCACATCCACAAGGGAAAAACCAAGGGACGAACCTGCACTGCGATCAACACAGCCGACAGCTGGGAGGAACGTTCCAACGTCACGTCCACTAGGCCAGGCCCAACGAGTTTCGTCACTTGACGTGTTCAAGGGGTGGAGAGGGGGGCCCTTGAAGACGTCAAGTGAAGAAACGCGTTGGGATGGACACGTTGGAGCGTTCCTCCCAGCTTCGGCTGTTGATCGCAGTGCAGGAGGTTCGTCCCTGGTTTTTCCCTTGTGGATGTGGCATTTAGAGGCTGTCATTGCTGGTGTCGGCTAGAGCTTTGTGAGTGCAATACTTGTAAAATTTTACTGGTTTTAAACGTACTGCACCATCATATCTCTTCTTATTCCTCGAGCTTTGCCCACTTATTGGAAGATCATTTGCTGCTTAGCTGTTCCATATGTGTTGCCTAGCTGTTCCATATGTGCTGATTGGATCTATTGGTTGCTGTTCCTCTACTGGGCTGCAGATCATTGCTCCCAGAGCAAAATGCTATCATGCTGGTTTATAATATAATCAGCATATAGTTCTGGTGAGTGTATAATTTCATCTGGTGTCGGATTTGCACATGGGTGTTTGTTTTCAAGATTGATATTAAGTTGATATTGGACTATCACTGTTATGGTGGCTGGACTTATGTTTATATTTATGAAGTAATTTCTTTAGCTGAATTTTGGGGAAATTAACTTATATTGGTATTCTAGGCACACTTCTGTTTTGACTCCTATTTCTGTCATTTTTTTCCAAGCCTTATATTGTGCTTGCATGTGTACGGGTTCCCCCTTTCTCGCCTTATTTTGATACACAGTGGTATCTGAGTTCCCAAGTCTGTCACTAATCAACCAGAATAGTTTGCATAGCTTTCTAATAGCTGCACCTGCACATACACTTGATTAAAAATCTCTTTGCTCCCAAACCATGGGTCCACGTAATGCAGATCACTAGTGTGTGTGTGCACAGTCACTGTGTTATATAGGTTGGGGGATGCAGGAACACTAACTGTTGTGCTTTCAAGTAGAAGAAGAGTATAGCAGGCAAATCCCAGAAGGCAGGGAAGGTTGTCATAGTTCTCAGCATAAAAGTCAGAATGTTGAATGGCAAAGTGATGAATTTGATGCTGCCTTTCGTACAAGAACAGAAAGTAAATATTTTTTGCTGATATATCTAAGGGCTCATTTATACTTGTAGTCAGGAGTGCAGTAAGGGTGGCAAAGGCTGTTGCATGTGTAAACAGAGTCTAAGGGTTTCATCTTTAGTATGGTGATGCAGAAGAGCTGGCATCATAACTACAGAGTGCAGAGGTGCTTGAAGCTGCTCATTCTTTTACGGTTTCAAAAGGTGCTCGGAGCACTCCAGCAGCCTTGGGTTGTAATTGGCAGGCATGAAAACATAAAGACTCCTTTTCCCACCTAGTTCAGCATCAGCACTCTAGTGGAGAGGTTTCTCGCTTTTTTCTTAAAAGGAAGATCCTATTCATACTTTTAATAAAGAAATTAACAAATGTAATCAAACTGTCTTCAAGAAGAATAGCCACAAAAAAGATGCCTTTCATAGTTTTCTAAAGTTCACTAGATGATACAGAATCTAATTATACAGCACAGACAATACTCCTATTAGATGATTTTCATGCTGGTCCAGTAACCAAAGTGCAGTAAACCATTGCAACCAAGTAGCCAAGCTCTACAGCTTTACAGCTTCATCCACAGTCTAACCAAAACAGAAAAAAAGTTTTGGGTTCTATCCCATTCCATTTAAATGCTTCATTAACTCTAAAAACCCCATTGTATTGAGAATAAAAAGCTATGGCAGGGCTTCCTTGCTCTTGATTCCTGTTAAATATGACAGACTACTAGCCAAGGTTACTGGGGTCCACCCATAACTGAACTGTGCTTGTTTGGCAGATGTAGCCTTTTGCAGACAATACTTATACATCTACAACAGTATGTTATATATTATTATTATTAAATGTATATTTCCGTAGAGCATTTGTCTAATATATATTTGTTTTGAATTTTAGGGCAACCTTTATCAAGTGCACTGGAAAATACACTGTTCTACCCTCCTCCTAGAATTACATTAAAGTTAAAAATGCCAAAATGCACCCCAGCAGACTGTAAACACAGCTCTGTGAAAACTGGAAGCCGATCAGGTCTTCTGAAAAAGAATAATATTTCTTCTCATAGTAGAAGTAGAGTTCTAAAGAAAGGGTCATCTGATCCTAGTTCCAAACACTATACCAGGCATGTCTCAGAGCAAAGAAGCAATGGACTGCTCAATGCGAATAACTCTCGAACAGACACTCAGGCCCCAGGTTCCCAGCAAACATCACGATTTAGGAGCTCAGGTAAACCCTTGTCCCTTCAAGCTGTAATCCATGGACAATCTTCAAATGGAAGTGGAAAAGTTCAGCATGAACATTCAAAGTCAAATAAATCTAATGGACTTTTGCATTCTGGTGGGGACAAATCCCAGAGAGACAACTCAAGCCAAACTTTTCTGAGTGAAGAGTCCTTATGTCATTTGACTAGCCAGAGTAGCTTTAGGAAATCCAGTTTGGACCATTTTAATAGATCATTCAAAGAGGCAACAAATAGCTTAGTTAGGACCATGGAAGATATTCAAAGTTTTGAAAAACCTCAAAGGAGACAATCTACAAAAGATCGCTTGTGGAACAAACAGCCTCTTGAATGTCCATCATCTGTGACTCCTTACCAAGATAATGATGGCTATTGTCCTGACCTTGAATTAAGTGACTCAGAAGCTGAAAGTGATGAGAATAAGGACCACATACGAGTACGGAGAGGCAACCCAAGTCACGAAAGCCCTAGCAGAGACTCAAATAAAAACAGTCGAAGTAGAAGCAAAAAGAACATGATTCCACACAGTTCAGGTCAGAGGTGATAATACAGTGTTGGGAAGAGACATTCATTTGTTCTATTACATATCTAAATGCCAAAGGTGGGTCTGTGAGCCCCCAGTGGAATACATAGAAAGCATACATTTGTAATATTTTTATTTAAAACTTTGTTTTTCCTGGAATTTTAAGAATTGTCCACAAGAGAAAATTCATTCTTTTATTCAGTAGAACTGGATGAATAATATGCACAAATATCTTAAAGATTTTTATATTCTTTGTACCAGCCAAATGTTCATAAAGAATACCTACTTGTTGCTTAATTTATGTGGCTAAAAAGCCCTGTATAATGATTTGTAATATGCTTTTTAGTGCTCTTTGCCAGTGGGTGAAAGCATCAAGTGCTTCTGTAAATATCTTGCTTTCAGTCTGTGGTTTTTAAAGCCTATGTACAGAAATTGCTAGTTGTGCAATGAACCTGTAAATATTTTACCCAGACAAGTAACAGAGGCCAACAACCAATTGTTGTTTACAGATATAAATGGTAGCTGTCTACTATGCATCATCATTCGGTACACAGAAGACAGGGAAGCATAGCATGGGATAGATGCATGAAAAAATCATCTTCAAGATTTAAAAAAAAAAAAAAAAAAATGCTGAAGATTCTTTACAACATCAGACACTACAATATTTTATGTTTACAGAAAGAGCCTAACCTGATCAAACAAACTATGTGACTAACTGTTGTTCCTACAGCCTCTTTGCTATCGTGCTTAGTGGTTTCCCTGCAAATTGATGTTACCAAAGTACAGTGTTTCATAATTCAGAGCTGAGCCTTTGAAGGATGCACAGCAAAAGTCTTTTAGGTGTAGCTTCTTCCTATTCCCCTTGAACTAGAGTACAGATCCCAATCTCTGACCTGCCACTCCATAAGGCTTAAAAAATACCTTGCTTTGTGGCTTCTCGCTGAACCTTTGCAGAGAGTTTAAGGGTCAATCAATTTCATTGAGAAGAGCGAAAAAAAGCCCAAGAGCGGATTATTCCATACCTAATAAAAAGGGTAATGCTGTCTTTACTTTGCTCATGCACTAGCTGCTTTAGTTCTGCCCTTCAATAGATCCAGTTTTTACCAGGACACAGACTTTTTACCATCCACTGGGGCCTAGTCTTTGCTTTAAATGACAGTACTCCATCTAATTTTGTCTGCCATAGTGACGGCTTTGAGGCGCTAAGGAAGTTTAAGGCTATAAGCTTGTTGTTGTCGTCCTTTTAATTTTTGAGGCAGCACAGTACTCAGTCTCTAGTTGTACCACCTGTGGTAGATTTAGGAATGCTGCATGCAGGCATTTCAAAACGTTGTCTTTTGGCCATCTTGTCAAACAGTCACAATCTTTCTTCATCTGTAGTATTATGTTATGCAAAAGCTCTATTTTGTCCAAAAATGTCCAGCATCTTCCCAAATCTTGCAGCAATATTTAAAGTTAACCTGTGCTTTGCCCACGCCAAGGGCGAAGCAACAGATTCACCTAACTGCCCACATCCTCCCCTTATACTGCCTAAGCTTATCTTTGCCACATCTTTTGTCTGGGAGTAGTGCTGTGTAAGCTCCAAGTCACTTTGCTTCGAGTTTGTATAGGACCACAGATTTTTTTCCAGCCCCTTTGTGACAGTAGGGTGCTTGGCAAATGGTTGTTTGGGTACCCAGTGCTGAATTGTACAAGAAAAGTGAATAGGTCTTACAGTTGTGGAGGGGGTTCAAAGTGAACCTATTGTTTTGCCCTGCATGGACAAAAGTGCAGGTTGACTCAAAGCATGAAATACCAAACTACATGATTAACTATGAACCTGGCAGCATGATAGACCATTTAACAGGTCAAGTAACATTAAAGTTTTTTTTTTTTGTTTGGTTTTTTTTTTTTAATAAAAAAAGAGGTAACACCTGCTCTGTGCAACAATATTACAAATCAACATCACTTTTGTCATCTTCTAGCAGTCTCTGCCACCGTTATAAGCTCCTCTCCTCCTTTGGGTGCCTTATATAGCAATCTGGGTGCTAAGGAGGCGCCTGTACATTCGCATGCCCATCAGGCCCTATGTTGCGCTATGTGTGTTCATAGACATGCACATAGCACTGGAAAGCCACACCCTTGCTCACTCCTCACTGAGTTTGACTGACGGCCACAGGAACCTATGGATCCTCTGCCTTCAATCTAACGAAGTGAGAGGAGTAGCATCGGAGCTGGTGGCAGTGACTTGGAGTCAGGTAAGTGTTTAGAGATGGGGAAATAGGACTGGTAATGGGACTTTTTTTTCCCCCTTAAAGCAGAGAATGCATTAAGGTAAAAACGTTGATTTTAGTACTACTTAAGCATTGCTACATGTATGTTCTTTAATTTATAATTTAGTGTTTTAAACTAGTATATTTTGGCCCGCGGTTTCCTTTTGTAATGCAGCACTCAGCCAGCATAGTGCTTTAACGCAAAATGAAACACTGGAATATACTGACCTCAACTTTCCATCAATGCAATAGTTACTGTATATTCATTGCCAGCCACTGTTATCGTCTCCCTGGGTGCCCATTTTTTTAACACTTGATCGGCTGTGGGGATAGATGACATCCTGCCCATGCATATGGAAATCAGTCATTCTAGCACTGGCAGATTAGGCTGGGAATGCCCAACTCAATGTGCAATCCATAGAAAACTGAAAGCAAGCAGGAAAGTGTGTATTATTACAGAAGAGACCTAGCATGTCTTTTTTTAATATAAAGAGCTGTGTGCTGGCAGTTTTTGTCAAGTTAGGTTCAGTCCTGTTTTAAATTCGAGCTATCCACTGATCTGTAGATGAATATGGCTACTCATAGTGTTGCATTTAAGCAATTTGTTCTCTTTCTAATTTGACCCACCAGAAAGAATGAATAAATATCACTACCCTAAGTTGTTAGTTTTGTTAGCTTACTATACCATTTAACATCTAAAGTGAAACATAAAGGAAGGGCTATGCAACTTCCTTTTATAGTACATGTGAACACGTTCTAAGTGATGAATGGTTGTAAATTGCAATGATCTAATTAGCAAATTAGTTACTAATTTCCTATATGGAAAGTATATTTAAAGAAAAAAAATATTGTTTATAGCAACCAACCATCTCCTGTCATTTCTGCAGTCCAGGTTTGGAAATGGTGCAAAGACTGTTTACTGTGGCAAATGTGTGTTTTTTTTTATACATTTTTAATGCATTAGTTTAGGTGTTTTTTAATTAAGATTTACTGTGTTAATACCCAAGGTGCTGTATTTTTTTTTCAGTTAGGTATTTGTGGCTACTTACGTAGATATAACTAATTTTTTTTTGCGTTTCATCTTATTCGATTGTTCTCAAACTTGCATCAGTGTTCCCAGTGGGGCAACATGACCGCCAGCCGCTAACCCCCACCACCAACACCAAAAATAAAAAATTGGACGCCGTGTCACAGTATGTGACAGAAATTTCCCTCTCTATCCAAAGCATTGAATACAGTAAGATTTAAGGTTTGAGGAAGATTTAACAAAAATAGTTGCGTTTCCAAAACCCTGCATCCTCCTTGAGATGACCTAATTGATGCTGTCACGCCCACTGAATTCGGAAGGCGAGGCGATACATATCTGTCTCTCAGTTTACATTGTAAATACCTGTCTTCAAGTAAAGGATGTAGTATTTATGGTTTTACACTGTGTGACCTTTCACACTTTTTGGCATGTGCACTGAAATTTCTTTTTAGTATGTGTGATAATTGTATTACTATTTTTTATGAGGAGTGACATTTCTTTTATTTGTTGGCACGTTGATTTTATACATGCATGTCTTTGGAAGCGCTCCTATTTTTGTTTTTTTATTTCTGTCCTGTATTCAGATTGTTTGTAGCCTACATCCATATTTATTCCTTCTTCACCAAGTGCAAAAAGAAAACATTACTATGTTTTTTTGTTTTTTTTCCCCAAAGGGTGGGGTTAGATCTCTAGGTGGAAGTAGAATAAAAGCACCAAAAAGTATAAGAGGCCAAATGTACCGATCAGCCATAACTTTATGACCACTGACGGGTTAAGTGAATAACACTGTTTATCCTGTTACAATGGCACCTGAAAGTCTGTGGGATATATTAGGCAGTAAGTAAACATCCCTGAAGGTGATGTGTTGAAAGCAGAAAAAAATTGGCATCTCAGTTTGTCATGTATGGGGCTGCATAGTTGCAGAACGGTCATGGTGCCCATGCTGACCCATGTCCATAGCCATAACTCAACAGTGGGCACGTGAGCATCAGAACTGGACCACAGAGCAATGGAAGAAGTTTCCTGGTCCTATGAATCCAGTTTTCCTTTACATCTTGTGGATGACTGGGCGCGTGTGCATCTCTTGGGAGGAAATGGCACCAGGATGCAGTATGGGAAGAAGGCAAGTGGACAGTGTGATGCTTTGGGTAGTGTTATGCTGGGAAACCTTGGTCCTGCAATTCATGTAAATTGAATTTATTCTACTTTTACACTTACCACCTTCCTAAAAACTGTTGGTGACCAAGTACACCCCATCATGGAATCTGTATTCCCTGATAACAGTGGCCTTTTTCAGCAGGATAATGCACCCTGATAAAATAGTTAAAGAATGGTTTGAGGCGATGCTTTGGCCTTCAAATTTTCCAGATCTCAATCCAATTAAGTATATGTGGCATGTATGGTAAAAACTAGTCCAGTCCATGGAGGCCAAACTTTGCAACATACAGGACTTAAAGGATCTTTTACTAATGGCGTGGTGCCAGATGCCACAGAATATCTTCAGAGGTCTAGTAGTGGTAAAAAGGGGACCTACTCAATATTAGGTGAGTGGTCAAAGATATGGCTGACCGGTGTATTTATTTAATCACAGAAGTCACAGATGAATAAAGCCATCACATTTTACGGGCTATAAGACTCCCCATTTTTCAGGGCTTACATTGCTTAGACTCTTATGGGTAATGGGGGATAAAATAAACACTGTCATATAACCCAAAAATATGCTTCAGCAGCTTTGAGAGCTT